CGAGCAGGCACATTTCTTTGTGAAGTAAATTGCTGGTTTGGCGGCTTCTCTCCTTCACATGACTGAGCAGCCTGGACACATTCATGTTTTTGACCCGTGGTCTGTGGACAAACTCCTGAGGCCCAGCTTCTGTGAGTTGACTCCAGTGCCCAGAAGCACATCTATGTGAACCCAGAGCAGGTGACAAATAGGGAGCCACACCCCTCTGTCCCTCCCAGACCCAGGCTGCTCCTGTCCTCTCTCGGATTCCCCCAGCCACTCTCCCCATGCCGGACTTTTCCACGCTGCACCCAGGATAGTACTGTTCCCTGCATCCCAGCCCCAATCTCCACCTGCATACACGTCACCATCTCTCGAGGCGGGGCAGCTAGAGGGACCCTTCCCATCTTCCTGCCCCCACACACTCTATTGGTACCATCTCAGGGTGTGTGGTACCAGCTATGTGAATTCACTTTGTATTCTGTGAGCTGCTTGGGGGCTGAGTCCAGGCCTGATGTATCCCCTTCCCCCAGTGCTGGGCCCATCTGGGGATTAGAGCAGTATTTATTGAATTTCTAGGTATTGAGGACCCTCATGTTGAGGAAGCCTTTTAAGTTGAGGAACTAGGCTGTGCAGATTCGAGCCAGCCCCAGTGGGCCTGGATGCCCAGCCCCTCCTGATTGCAGGAAAGCAGGAACTCACTGGTGCCCCTCCCCAGATTCCCCAGCTCCTGGGTTGGGGTCACTGAGAGGACATCAACTAACATTCATATAAACAGGCGCGAGTAGGGCCTGTGACCATCTGAGCACCTCTGGCAGACAGCAGCCTTCACGTCTAGCCTGCTAAAGGGACATCAGCATCTTTTCTTAGTAAGAAGGGTTTTTTGTTGTTTTTTTTAGAGAGAGGGTCTCACTCTGTCACCCAGGCTAGAATGCAGTGACCCCATTCAGGAGTCACTGCATGTTGAAGTTGCAGCCTTCAACTCCTGGACTCAAGGGATCTTGTTGCCTCAGCCTCCCATATAGCTGGGATTACAGGTGTGTGACACCTGGCAATTTTTTTAAACTTTTTGTGTAGAGATGGAGTCTCACTGTGTTGTCCAGGCTGGTCTCCAACTACTGGCCTCAAGCAATCCTCCTGCCTCGGCTTCTCAAAGTGCTGGGATTACAGGTGTAAGCCACCACACCCAGCCAAGAAGTTTCATGAAAGAAAGCTATTGTAAACTTTTGCCTACAAGTGTCTCCCACAAAATGCATACCTGAGAAGCTGTGCCTCAGGGAAACCAACCCCAGTGTTGGAAAATATCATCTCTTCCAGAAAGCCTTTCTGGACCCCCAGGCTTGGTCAGGAGTCCCTCTGAGCTTCCAAAGCCCCTCACCCTGTTGACATGTCTCCTCTTTTGATTGTAGCCTCCCAAGGGCATTTTGTGCAACTTTTGTCCTTTACCCTGGAGGTGACCAATGCAATTGGCTGAATGGGTTGTTGAACCAGAGCATGGTTGTCCCCTAAACTATTTGTGTTTTGAAAAATCAGGACTTGGGCCGGGCGCAGTGGCTCACACCTGTAATCCCAGCACTTTGAGAGGCCAAGGCAGGTGGATCATGAGGTCAGGAGTTCGAGACCAGCCTGGCCAACATGGTGAAATGCTGTCTCTACTAAAAATACAAAAATTAGCTGGGCAGTCACCTGTAATCCCAGATACTCAGGAGGCTGAGGCAGGAGAATCGTTTGAAGCTGGGAGGCGGAGGTTGCAGTGAGCCAAGATTGCACCATTGCACTCCAGCCTGGACGACAGGGCAAGACTCCATCTCAGAAAAAAAAAAAAAAAAGAAAGAGAAAAGAAAAATCAGGACTTGGGAAGTCCTCATCTCTAGGTCCGCCTGTCCCTGGAATGTTCTATGCAGGGCAGGTGTTATGGTAGAAATAGCGTCTTGTTGGCCGGGCATGGTGGCTCACATCTGTAATCCCAGCACTTTGGGAAGCCAAGGCTGGTGGATCATCTGAGGTCAGGAGTTCAAGACCAGCCTGACCAACATGGTGAAACCCTGTTTCTACTAAAAATACAAAAATTAGTTGGGTGTGGTGGCAGGCACCTGTAATCCCAGCTACTCAGGAGGCTGAGGCTGGAGAATCGCTTGAACTCTGAGAGGCAGAGGTTGCAGTGAGCTGAGATCATGGCACTGTACTCCAGCCTGGGCAACAGAGCAAGACTCCGTATCAACAACAACAAAAAAAAAAAAAGAAGGAAAAAAAAAAAGAAAAGAGACAGTGTCTTGTTGATAACAAAAAGTCACTGGATTCTTCAGGCCCAGTTCTAGGGAGGCTGGGGTCTTCGTGTGAGATGCCCGTGCTGGTGTAGGAGACAGAAGCGTTTTGATGGCAGCTTTTCCTATCAAATGATGAAGGAGGGAGACATCGCTGTTGAGAGAGGGGGAGGCAGGCAGCCCCAGCCTTCAGTGTCCTGCACTGGGGCTCTCGGAGCGCTTTAGTTAAAGGTGATGATGGAGTTCCAGGATAGTCTGGTTGAGCCTTAGCAACAAAATGAGACCGTCTTAGTAACAGCAAGCAAGGGAAAAGCCAGGGACCTCCACGTGCCGTTAAGGGAGCCTTCTAGCTAGTGGGATGGACGGCGTCGACAAAATGAATTTCCAAGCAGTTACTGGAAAAATAAAACTGTTTCATGTTTATACCTCAAGGGTTTGAGGCTTCTGGATCAAACCCATTATATTTGAATAATTACACCTGCAAATATGTGTTTGTATGTGCACAGATCTTCCTAGGAGGCTACAGAAGAATTGTAGCAATTGCCTCTATGGGAGTGGGGTGGGGACTAGGGACGGGGTGGAGAGGGAAACAAAGTGGAGACAGAGGAAGGAGGGAAATCTACTTTTCACCGATTCTGTTGTACCTCTTGATTTCTTTTTTTAAAATGGTAGGCTGTATCATTTTCAATTAAAATGGACAAAGGTTTTGAAACTTTGCTGGGCAGTACTAGATGAGGTTTTCCTGTGTCTGACCTCAAGCTGTCAGCTGGAGTTGGAGTGGATTTCCTCTTCTTAGGGTCCCTAGTGGAGAAGGGGGCACACCTTCACGAGTGACAGGCCTGCAGTGTGCTGGCTGTGACAGGCTGGCAGGTTGGGAGGGTTCTTGTGCCATTGGCTCTGGCCCCTCACTGGGCACCCACACAGCCCCAGGCTGCAACCAGCCCCTTTGCTGCCTTCTCCTGGTTGTCCCTCAACCATCCCCTGGGCTTGGCACAGAAAGGAGGTTTCAAGGGGTGCGGCTGTCACACTCCTGCCTGGAGCCAGGACCCTGACCCCTGCCCCGCCAATTACAGAATTACACCAGCCAGAGGGCTCTCACAGGGTAGCAGGTCTACACCCCACATTTCACAGATGCGGAAACTGAGGCTCAGGGAAGGATAGTGACTCCACAGCATCAGGGCTGGGACCCAGGTCCCCAACCTTCAGGACCAGAACTCTTTGCACCCCACCTGCTGCCCAACCTGATTTTAGGTGAGCTTCCAAGGGACAGTGGCAGGTAGAGAATGAAGGAATTTAAATGGGTCCCCTTGACTCCCGGGGGACCCCAGACTGTCTGCCTGCTTGTGAGGGCTACTTGCATGAATAGCTGCCCCACGCCTGGCTCTGCCCACTCCTTAGCTGGGCGGCTGCCCGCCCCCTGTATCCCTCCCTTCACCCCCCATCCTCATGAAGCTGTCCCTCTCCTCTTCTTCTCCCTTATAAATCCTTACCCCCAAATCATCTCTGCTAGGAAGGTCATGCTGAATGTGACCGTTCCAGGTCCTCTGGGTCCCCAGGGAAACATGATGATCTGAGCCTGGGGATCTGCATGCAGGTGGGTGCCACTGTGCCCTGCCTGCCCCACCTCCTCTGCCAGAGGACAGACGTGGGTTTTCTCATCTTGGTAACTTTCAGTCTCAGACCGAGCCCACAGGTGTTCCCCATTCCCAGGGGGACAGCTAGGTGATACAGCCACATAGAACCCAGAGCCACAGGTCCCAGAAAGTCAGGGCTGGCAGGGCCTATAGGCACCACATACTCAGGTTGTGAAAACAAGTTCCAAGGTCAAATATATCTGGGATCTCTATTAATATGAGGAGACCCGCTTCTTCTTGCAGGGCCTTTCAGAGCCTTTAACATGCTGATGGGCAACATGACTGTCCAAGATGGGGCCAGAGGGTGCTGTCACCCCAAATTTAAAGAACCTACTAATGGAGCAGGCAATCCATGCTGGGAAATGCTCAGGCCAGACTCAACTCACAAAAGGAAAGACTTGAGGTCCACAGGCCGGAGGGGACCAGCTTGAAATGGGGCCGCTGCTAGTCTTCTTACAACACTTCTGTGCACGTTAGAACAACCTCTCCTCGATAGCAAGGTACTCCTTTTATTAGCACAAGACCCCTTTACTGCCATCTGCTGGAAACATCTCAGCAAATACACAAATCTACAACATACATGGGAATGGAGCCACCCTCCCCTTTAGATATGGTACTCTTGCCCAGTGCGTTACCTGCCCAACCATGCCTGGCAGCCTGGGGTGGAGTCATATGATCCCAACCTGCCCATCACTTCCTTTCAGCCTGCACAATAGTCATATATCCTAGGTGAGATTTCTGAACTGACCCTGCAGCCTCAGCACCCTTGGGGATACTCCCTTCTGAACTCCTCAGAGACGGTCAGGGATGCTGGGGCTTCATCTCTGTGTCATCCCTCTCACCCATTACCTAGCCCCTGGCAGACTCACACGACGAACTCCTGAACAGATCCGGACGCACAGGGACCGGGATCCAGATGCACCACGGGCTCCTCCTTGCTGTGTGACTCTAGGGAAGTCCTCACACCTCTCTGAGTCAGTTTTCCCTTCTATAAAATGAGGCAGTTGGGCTTGCTCATCTCCTGGGGGTCAGATAGCTCTGAACTGACAATGACACCTCCACCTTCCATGGAATTTTGAGAAGAGCAACACAGTCATTCCCAATTACCAACAGGAAGACAGCCAAATGCAACCCAGATTTTATTAGACTAGGAAATATAATTTATTTCATAAAAATTAATTTTGTTACAATAGGAATGCTAAAGGTTATTTATAGGTTGTAGTTTACAGAATAAACAGAGGTGGGGTTGGGGGCCATCCCTGGGGCCCTGCACCCGCCCCTCCCGGGCATATAACCATGTCCACGGACCTGGCAGGGGTCCAGCCCTTTGCCCCACCAAGAGCTCCCTGCACCGAAGCTGCTGGTCACCTCCCCTAAGAGACCCGGCTCAGCTGCCTGGGAGCTGGGGAATAGGGACCAGAGTGCCCTGGAGGGTCCAGGAGATGAGGAGGGTCTCCTGCACCTTCAGGAGAACCCCTACCCCTGAGCTTTGGAGCCGGGGGCACTGTGAGAGAAGGCAGAGGGAGAGGCACGTAGAAGATACACTGACTGACCCTGTGGGCTCAGGGAGGGCAGAAGACAGGCACACCAACCTCCAGACGTCCAAACCTGGGACGCAGAGGAGCACACACACACGCTTGCTCAGGTGGGGACACGTGCACGTGTTCTCGGAGGGGCACCCTGATGTGCTCACAGAGAACAGCACAGGTACACGCACGCGCACGCACACGCGCACCCCAGAGAGGAGAGAGAGAGAAACACCTGCGTAAGGGCCCTGCAACCCCCAACGGTACCTGAGCTGCTGCCCACCAGGTACATGCCTTCTGGGGCTACCTCTCGGGTCTGAATTGGAGGAGAAATCACCGATTCCACCCCGGAGGCAGACAGCCTCCACAGACGGATGGAGTCGGCAAATTCTTTCTGGGCATTTCTCGTAGAGCTGGACGGTTTGAACCCTCCCAGGAGGCTCCAGTCAATGGGTCTGTGCTCTAGGACATGGTGCACATTTCCAGAAGTCAGACTGGAAATGGCACCTGGGTGGCTGGCTGCACCTCATCCGTCAAGCTCCTGTCTCGGGGGCAGAGCAAGCAGCTTCTGAGGGTGGGGCGGGGAGGACAGAAAAGAACAGGGAGGAGGGGCACGGCAGATCACAGGGTCCCCTACGGAAGCCTACAACGGTGTGTCTGAACCCAAAGAGCCTCAGACTGCAGCATTCTAGGTATGAAAAGGACACTGAAGCCCAGAGAAGGCAGTGATATGCCGGAAGTCGCACAGCAGTTTAATGGCAGATTTGCAACTCGATTCCTGGTCTTTGGACGGCCAGGCTGCATGTGGACATGTCAGAGCCTGCAAGGGGAATGGCACCCCCTGTCACGGCACGTGTGGTCTAGCCTGGTCAGACTGCCCTCAAAGCCACGTGACCGAGGCCCACACGTGTGCATGGGCTAACAGTGACCAGTGAGGCTGAGCCCATGGGACGGGCACTTCGGCAGGGAAAATGCCCGTCATCTGGCACTTTCCTTCATCCGAGGCAGCATCCTGGTGCCTGGAGGCACCAGGGTTGAGAGCCTTAGTCTCAGCCTCCAGACCCAGTCAGGGTCCAGCCCCTGATGCAGACCTCGCCCTCAGCAGCCCTGGTAGAAGGAATCCTCTCTCAAATCTCCAGGCAAGTCCTCCTCTGCCCACAGCCAGGCCACACTCCAGGGGGCTGGTGGGTGGTAAGAAGCCCCGCGAGCTGCCGAGTCCATGGCAGAGAAGCCAAGCTGGGGACGCTGGCTGGAACTGCAGCCCTAAAACCTGCCCTCCTCTCAGGATATCAGACTTTCAAAGGCCAGGATGTGCTGAGACGGGTCCCAGTGGCTGCTCAGAGGCCTGCTAGGGCACGCCCTAGGGTCACTGCCCGGAAGTGTTGGGGAAGCTGGCACTTGCCCTGCCTGGAGTGCCAAGAGGGAGAGGCCTTTGATGAGGCCTCTGTGCTGGCTGCAAGATCCTGTCCCAGCCACTGACAGGCAGTTGCACAGGGCAGAGACTCATCCTGCACCATGCAGGGCCCCTGGAACAGGTTGGGTGGGGGTAGTGCGTGCCGTCCCCTCTACCCTGGCAATCCCACCCACTGGGAAAGGTTATTTCAGATCTCCCAGACCATGGCGGGGTGGGTAAGAGGAGGGTTATAGGAGGTGCCTGTGGAGATCAGAGCTGGGAAACCAGCTTCTCAGCCTCCTCCTCCACTCCTGGGCATGCAAAGCACAGCCAGGCCACCCGCCTCCCAGCCTCCCACACTGCAGGGTTGACTGACACTGGGAAGCTCCGGCTTCTGGAGCTAGAAAGGACCTCTCAGCCATCACTCTGCTTTACAGAAGGAGAAACCAAGGCTCGGGAAGGGCAGATTCTGGATTCCTGGCCATCAAGAGAGCGTCACCCTGCTCCAGAGGCTGCTGGGCTGAGGATGGGATGAGGGTGTCAGGGCTGGCCCCACCTTAGGGTAAAGCTATCCAGCCCCCAGGAGAGAGATGTCTGTAGAGGACTTTCCTCCCCCACTTCGTCTCTCTGTTTGAGTCCCACTTCTGAGCCACATCCCTTTCTAGGAGCCACCAGACCAAAACCAGACTGGAACATTCTCCCTGGCTCACAGCCGGCCTCCTCTTTCATCCCAACTTTCTTAATCCAGATTCCCAGGAGCCCAGAGGTATCTCCCTGGGGCTGTGGGAGGGAGGGCCCACCCACTCCAGCCCTTAGCACTCCTTGGCTTTACGGATTCAGTATCTGCTTAAGATTTTAGAGGGAAATCTAGCCAGCTAAATCTAGACAGTGAAAACCCTGTCTGATCTACTCCCTGCACAACTGGGGAAACTGAGGCCTTGTCAGAATTCAGTCCAAGATGGATTTGTTAGCAGCAAAGTACTCTCTGTTCAGTCTCTCTCTCCCCAATGCACACGCGTACATGTACACACACACACACACACACACACAGAGGCACATTCACTCCTGGCCAGAAGTGTGAGTGTGCCCATTCTCATCCACACTCAAGAAAAGAGTTTTCTATTTTTTTGTGTTGTTTTTCATTTTCTTTTTTTTTTTTTCTTAAAAAGGACTTATCCAAATAATCTGGATAATAAATCATTAGCGTTTCCTAAGAAACTGGGTTTTTCTTTTCCCTTGTGGTTTTGGTGTTTTTCTTCTTCTTTGAGCCTTACTAGCGGACTGAAGCTTTCTTTCTTTCCTTTACCTTTTTGCTTTTGGACAGGAGAAAGCAGTTTGTCTGAATTGTACTTGACTCTTCAAAGAGGAAAAGGGCGTGGAAGCAGAAGGGGGCTTAGGGAGAAAGGATAAATCAATAAGGGAGGAAGAAAATGAAGAACGGAACTAAAACCCATGGAACTCAGAAGTTGCCAGGCTGAGGGTAGGGGGGTGGAGGGAGGGCCTCCTGCCTGCCCCAACCGCCTCCAGAGGCTTCAGCCCCATCTTGGTTCCCGCACGGAGATCTCAGGCCAACAGACAGAGAACGGGGATGGAGAAGGAACTCTGGGCCCTCTAACAACAGAGTACATGGATTTTCTAAGGCTGGTTGTGGTCTGGGGGTTGGGGAAGAGGAGGAGGAGAGGCAACTCTGGCTGTGAACTGGGAGGAAGCAGAGGCCAAACATCCTCATCAGGAGGCTCCCGCAGGCCTCCCTGCACCTGCCACCTGTCAGTCCCTGCCAGCCTGCCGTCCCAGGAGGCTCAGCAGTCCCCGTCAGTGGCCACAGCCACCAGCATCTCACTCTTGCCCATCTCCTCCAAGGCACTCGCCAGGCTGTTGAGGTCCCCATCGTCCTGCTGCAGAGCTTCCCAGAGGTCCAGGATCACACCCGTGGGGCTCGCTTTGGTGGCAAAGTAATTCAGGTACCTGGCAGAGAGAAGGAGGGCACTGAGGTCCCCAAGCACTTAGCTCCTTCCTGGAGCCTGGGGGTGAAGGGGCACAAGGGGAAGTGGGAAGGCTGTGAGCTTTGGTGTCCTACTGTCCTGGGTCTGAATTCCAGCTACTGTGTTGCGGTCTGTGTGGCTCTGGGCAAGTCAGAACCTAGAGCTCAGAATCTTAGTCTCCTTGTCTCTAAAACTGGAACAATGCCAGTTACCTCTCAACAAGATCCAAGATCATATAAAGTAAGGGTCTAGCGTTGTCTCTAGCATGTAACTATCTTGTTCATCATCATCGTTATTATCATTGAAAGACACTGGCCCCAAGAGAGAATGACCACGTGTAGCATGTGCTCATTCCTCCCACCTGTGTTCCCTCCTGCTCCCATGAACTCCCCTGATAGGAGGAACAAAGCCTTAGCCATCTTTGTAAGTCCTACTCATTTCTAGTAAATGTCTTATCTAAAGCATCTGCTCAATGCAGGTTTATTACACATCTTTCAATACATATAATACTTATTATCATTGGCTTTATATTCATTTATTCAGCACTTGAAGTTCTCCAAAAGAGTTTTGACACCAAAGTGTATCTCAGCCAGTCAGCAAGCATCTCCGGAGCACCTTCTCTGTCCTAGACACCAGGTGCTGACAATGATGGCACCAAGCTGATGCCCTGGCTTTGAGTCTCCTGCTGTTCTGTGAGATGGGCAGGTGGAGCGTTATCCCAGCACAATGGGAAAAGAGCAGGGCCTGAGAGTCTGCCCGGCTCGAGGACCAGTGCTCTGAGCATGATGCTCCTTGAGGGAGCAGTACTCTTGAACTTTGCATATCCAGTCCCGAGTTCCTGATTTGCCACAAATGGTGGCAAAAGGGCGGCTGGTCTAGGAGCTGGTCTTGGCTGTCAGGCTGCCTGTCCTGCCTGCCCCTGTGAGACCTTGAGGACGAAGGCAGATGGGGGTGGGCTGTGGTTTGGGATACTCACCGGTCCATAGAAAGCTTCTGCGCCAACATTCGCCAGTCATTGCCCCGTGAGTTGGGGGCATCTAGGCTGTTGCATATCTTCTGGCGGATGGACAGCGGGATCTTGAAGGCGTAAGGTCCCAGCTGGGTGGTGACGGCGCTGCCAGGGGCAGAGCAGAGAGTGTCCAGGGAGCCAGCAGGTGTCTGCAAGGGTGGGGACCAAGAGTGAGAGGGGCACAGCGCTGGGCACTGCTCTCCAGCCTCCCTCCCCTTGGACTGTGAGCTCATTGAGCCTTGAGTCACTCCCACCTCCCCTGGACAGGCTCCCACTGTTCAGGCAGGGGCTTCTCACTTGAAGGGTCGGTTCCCAAGGGCAAGGCCTGCATGGACATCCTCCAGGCCTCAGGGGATGCACCATGCTTACCTAAGGCCCCAGGCAAATGCAGATGCAGCCTCATAGTTAGGAAGCCCCAAGGAGCCCCAGCCACAGTCTAATCCACATGCACCCATTTGTACAGGTGGAAAGTGAAGTCTAGAAAAGGGGAGTGGCTTGCTCATGGCCACATGCCAAGTTAGTGGCAGACCTGGGTCCAGACCTGTATCCAGTGCTCTTCACAATGCCCCACGAGGAGGATCTAGTGCTGTCACCCTGGGTGGCCTGGGATTTAATCTCAATCCAGGTTTATAACGGTTGAGAACCATAGGCCTGGTCCTTGCATCAACCTGGGTTCAAATCCAGTCTTGCCATTGGTGCATAGTGTGCAAATTCTTGCCCTTCCTAAAACCTACATTCTCACCTCCCAGGTGGGGATCATATCTGTCATGCATCTCCTGGTGCTCGTGAAGATTTAGTGAGATCATGTAAGTTTTCTGGTATATGCCAAGCATGTGAGTGACACTCAATCAATACATGATGCTTGTTAGCAAAACATGACCAAATGTCTGCTCAGACTTGGGAGGTGAGAGGGAACTACAGGGGTCTGCGTGCTGCAGCCCAGCCCCAAACCCTAGAGGTGTCCTCTGGCCCTCACCTCCATCAGCATGGTGTGCAGCTGGAATATCTGGCCCCCCTTCCCTCACCTCCGCCAGTGTGGTGTGCAGCTGGAATATCTGGCCCCCCTTCCCTCACCTCCGCCACTGTGGTGTGCAGCTGGAATATCTGGCCCCCCTTCCCTCACCTCCGCCAGTGTGGTGTGCAGCTGGAATATCTGGCCCCTCTTCCCTCACCTCCGCCAGTGTGGTGTGCAGCTGGAATATCTGGCCCCCCTTCCCTCACCTCCACCAGTGTGGTGTGCAGCTGGAATATCTGGCCCCCCTTCCCTCACCTCCGCCAGAGTGGTGTGCAGCTGGAATATCTGACCCCCTTCCCTCACCTCCGCCAGAGTGGTGTGCAGCTGGAATATCTGGCCCTCCCCTTCCACTTGCCGAACGCAGATCTTGCAGGTGAGCTCTGTGGAGGCCAAGCTGTGCCTCTCCAGGGTGAAAGTGCAGTGGAGGGCCTTCTGGCTGCCGCTCCAGATGTGATAGAAGGGGATCTCCTGCAGGAGGAGGGGGTCAGGACCAGGCAGGCAAGGCCAGCCTGCCCTGTCCTCATGGAAATGGAGACTCAGGGAGAGCTCGGGGAGCTTCGGTGGACAGTTCAGGTCTCTCCACCCAGATGGGGAGAGGTCAAGTGCCCTAAGCTAGCCAGCTGAGTTGGTGTCAGACCCTCAGTTCCAGAAGGGAGCTGAGGCGGAGTACGTGAGGGAAGGAAAGGCACAGGTGTGTGTGTGTTGGGGGCTGGGGGGCCTCATGGTCTCAGGTGCTGCTGCGTGGGCAGCAGCAGGCTGTGGCTGTCACAGATGAGATGGACAGTCTGCCAGGAGGGCATGCCCTGAAGGGTGGGGAGCCTCTGTGAGGATGAAGGGCACAGGCATCTGTGCGTGTAGGGATGTGACAGGGCAGAAGTGTACATGTGGTTACCCACTGCCCTGAATTTGGGGATGTGCTTGGGGATGGCTGGGAGCCTGGAGACTGGGCTGGGAGAAGACAGAGACTGTGAGAGACCCAGGGAGGCCGCAGGGCAGAGCCGGGAGGCAGAGCCCGGGAGGGAGCTGGTCTTCCCAGGCAGCCCTTAAGTGTTGCCCCTCCCCACCCATCAGCCCAGCCCTCACCTGGTATTTGGCCAGCAGCTTGCTCCTCCAATGGGCGTGGGGGAGGTCATGGAGGGAGAGGCGCAGGTTGTGGTAACTGTCTTTGAACATCAGGGGTTTTGGCTCCTCCACCAAGTAGCCACCCAGAGTCCGCTCCAGCTCTAGCACCTCCTGTGGGCCAGGGGCATGGGGAAGGGGAACCCATCACACTTGGCCAATGGGCCTCTTCTGCTGCACTCTGCAGGGCAGGAGTCAGGGGCCCATCTGAGTGCGTGGCTGGGCATTTGCAAGAGCTCACAGAGGGCTTACGGTGTGAGAAGATGAATGGATGATGGATGGATGGACAGACAGTGGAAAAGATGACTAGATGAATGAATCCATAGATGATCGTATGGCTAGAGGGACTAATAAATGGACAGATGGATGGATAAACAGATCGATGGCTAGAAAGATAGACAGATGAATATACAGATGGATGTACAAGGATGGGTGTATGAATAGAAAGATGGAAGAAAAGATAAATGAATAGATAGAAGAGTAATGAATAGGTAAACAGATGGGCTGCTGACTGAATGGGTATATGGTCAGATGAACAGAAAGACGGATGGATGGATGAACAGATGGACAGATGGATGGATAATGGATGGAGGGTTGAATAAACAAAGAATGCCATCAGGCCAAAACCTGGTAACTTCCCTCTTGATTTCTATAGCACTCTCTGGCCAAAGCTGGCCATTAGCCAATGCCCCAGGACCAAGAGATCCAGCTGCAGGAGCACTTCCCAGGCACCTCCCACCCATCGCAGGACCACTGGCATCTCAAGCCAGTGTCCTCCCAGCAAGGGACACTCCTTCTCCCATGGGCCTCTTTCACCTATGCTGTCTACAGTGTGGGCTTTGGGACAAGTCCCATGAGCCTGGGAGATGAAGGAGCTGGATGGGGCCAGGCAGCAGAAATGGGGGGTGCATGGAGCCATGGGAAAGGACCATGAGGCACTGAGGAGGGCAGATGGGAGGTGGGAGGGGAACAGGCTCACACACAGCCAAGTATCTGTATGCTTCCAGGGTTACATCAGGATGAGCCTGAGCTCCTGAGAATGGGGGAATGCACAAGGGCTCTAAGGCTGGCAGGGAATAGTGGTGCTAACACAGGGCTCCATACCTGCCATCATCAGGCTCTCGGTACTATAAGACCCTCCCCTCTGCTTCCCTCCCTCCTGTCCCGACCACCCCTCATCTGCACGACCCTTCCTTCACTTGGGGCATGGCTCTCCATCCTTCTACACATGCTAGGAGCCTGGCTGTCAGCCTTAACTTCCCCTCCCACTGCCCATCCCATCAGTCTGTCCATTCCACTGAGCACACACAGCATCCAGCCCTGCCTCTCCTGGCTGCTGTCACTCCCTGTGGCCCAGGGGCCAGCCCCTCTCATCTACCCACCCCAAGTATAGCCACAGGGGCTTTCTAAAGAGCACCTGTGAACAGGTGTCTACCAGGTCCATTCCCCTTCCTGCCGCGTGGATTCCAAATTCCTTGGCACAGGCTCCTGGGAGGCTGAGCCCTGCCCATCTCTCCTGCCCTCACATTCACACATTCCCTATGCCTTTCAGCTGAAACGCATATGAAACGCAGTCATTTCCGTCAGTCTGGAATGCCCTTCACTCCTCTCTGCTGAAACTCCTACATGTCAGCCTTCCCAGAGACCCTCCCCACCAGCCCAAGCCCCTCCTGGTCTCATGCTCCCTCGGTCCTGGGGCAGACCCCATCAGAGCCTTCAGGGATCCCTGGTCTGCCTCCCACCTCTAACCTGGATCTTGGTGAGACAGGCCCTGTGCCCAAAGCTGTTTCAGTGTGTGAGGGCCGCATGCGTGACCTAATAAGGCTGGTGGTGGGGAAGGGTTCCTGGGAGGGCCCATGAGCCTGGGGAGGGGGATGCTGGCAGGGATCATGCAGCTGGCCGGCCAGGGCTGTGTGGGCACCTGCAGCTGGCCCTACCTTCAGTGCTACAGGTGTGTCCTCCAGGCAGTAGACCCGGAGGCTGTACTCCAGGGAGGTGCAGAGGGCGGGGGCGAAGACGGCCAGCTGGAGCCGCTTGACTGCTGAGCGGGAATAGGACTCGCCCGTGAACACATAGGTGCCCAGCTGGTCCAGCAGGATATGGCAGGCCCTGGGCTCCAGCTGGCAGTAGCAGGGTGTGTTCAGGGTCTCCTCATCCAGGGTCACCACCTCCTGTAGGGGACAGCAAGGGTGGGGTAGTGGTCACAGTTATTGAGGCTGGGCCAGAGGAAAAGGGCTTTCTTTTGCCTCCTTGGGCAGGTTGGGAGAGCTGGGCCAACCTTCACCCTGGCTCCTCACCTCCCAGTGGCTCTGGTGGGCCTGGGTCTTGAGCTGAAAGATCCAGTCACCGGCACTGACTTCGGCACAGTGGGGCACGGTGAGGATGACGGGGCGGCACAGCAGGAGGCCTGTGGGTCCGCAGGTCACCGAGGGGCTCAATACTGTCTGGGTCCCTTCTGAAAGCGGGCTGGGGGAGGACACAGGGTAGGAGGGAGGCAGTGAAGAGCTCGGCAAAGGTGCAGGCTCCTGCTGGGCTCCCAAGCCTGCCCAGGGCCCGGGAGGTGGAGGGCAGCTCTTTGCCACTCAGGACTCTGCATTCCCAGAGGTCATGGGGGCAAAGGAGGCAAAGAAAATGGCATGAATCTTGAGGTTGTTTCCAGATTTTTGCTGTTTCACTGCAACATTATCATAGCTCAGAATTCCTTGCTTACATTTTCCAAGGTTGTGTAATTTTGGAAGGTATTCAATAGGTTACGCTAAAGTGCCCTCCAGAGAGCTGGTTCCAATCTCTACTCCCGCCCACGTGCCACAGAAGGCCATGTTCCCACCCTCTTGCCAGCAAGAGGGTATTATCATTCGGAAAAAGGTCCTTGCAAATTCCTTAATAATAATATAACAATAATAATAAAATCCCAATATACCTCATGTTTTTTTTCATTAGTTTTCTCTGACCGCAAATTAGACTGAACATTTTCTCATAACCTACTGGCCAGTGTGTTTGTGTGAGAGTGTGTGTGTGAATCACTTGTTCATATCCTTTGCCCATTTTCACAGTGAGATGTTCACTTTTTCTTATTGATCTACAAAGTCTCTTTACACAGTAAGGATATTCAGCCCTTTGTCATACTTGTAGCCAGCTTGTCAATTGCCTTTGAGTTTTACGATGTATGGTATTGGTTCTGCAAGTTTCAAACATGGACCCAGTAAGATTAATGCTTTCCTTGGAGAACTGTTTGGTCTTAGCACCAGGTTTAGAAGGGGCGCCAAGTGTGGGCATGCAGCAAGGGATGGGAGGAAGAAAAAGGAGCAGGGGCTGGGGCTCTACTCACAGGGTGCTTTCTGCCTTGTTGATGAGTAGATACATCTCGTAGAACTTGCCCTGGGGAATGGCTCCATTGGGCACCAGTAGGCTGACCCCTAGGGAGAGAGGGAGGTCAGCAGGGAGTCCAGGAGCTCAGGAGAACAAGGGTTTGGGAAATTGGCCCCAGTTTGGGGCTGGGAGAGAAAGATATCTCCTGAGCTCCAGGTGGTCACCAGCCAGGGGTGGGAGGGGGTCTGGGGACTGGATGCAAGCAGAGGCCAGGCCACTGACCAGTGCTGGCTTGTCTAGGAAGACAGGGGTCTCTGACATTGCTATGGGGTCTGGAGGTCCAAGTGCCAGCCCTACTCCTAGCTTAGTGTACGGTGCTGGGAAGCTGTTAATTGCTGGCTTTGCAAACTAAGATGGGCGCCCCTGCCCCTCTGCTGCTAGTTCTAGGACCGTGCTTTGTAGGTCTGCTGAACTACATAGTACTATTCTCTCTCACACAACAGAGACACTGAAGCTTAGAAGGTGGCTGGCCCAGGGTTCCTCTGCCCTAGTGAGGGCACAGGCAGGCCTGAAGCCTGGCTTTTCTAGTCAGACCTCTCTATTTTATGCTCACTTCCTGCCACCAGGCCTCCCTTTCCCCATCTGTGATATGGGATTAGGGCAGCCCTGTCTTCTGCTGGATGGGTGTGGGGGCAGTCCGCAGAGGAGGTGCTGAGGCCAGGCCGACACACAAGCAGAGCAGGGGCTCACCTGTGCCAGGGATGCTGAGCCTCCCACCCAGGAAGCCAAAGGTGCCGCTGACGCTGCTCCCCGGGTCTCGGGGCAGGCCCAAGAGCTGCTGGGAACCAAGGCTGGCGCTGCGCAGGTGCAGGAGGTGGGTGTCCCGGGTGAAATCACTAGGGTATGTGCCCGGCGGCAGGACCCCCAGCAGGTCAGCCCCGTCTGCCAGGCCTGGCCCAGAGCCCGTGGTGCTGGAGCTGTAGACCTTGACCTTAAGGCTGGGTAAGGGGTCCAGCAGAGGAGAGTTGGTCATGGGGATCTTGTCGGTGGAGTCCTGCAGGGCATACACGGGTCCACGGTAGATGCCGGCACTGGCTGTCAGGTCAGGAGGCACAGAGGGGTGTAGGAGCTGCGGGTTGTCTGCAGGAGTGGGGGCTATAGTCAGACCCAGCTGTGCCCCATCTCACTGGCCCAGCTCCCACTGCAAAATCCCACCCAAATGTCCAGCTGTGAAAGGCTCAATTGCTGCCAGCTGCGGGAAGCTTTGGGAATCCCGCAGCCTGGGTCACTCCCTTCCTTCTCTGTAGTTCTCTAATCCATACCCATCCACATAGTTATCTCTATGGAAAAACCCCGGGAGGGAGTCAGGAGCCTGGCTCTGGTCTGGGTACCACCAGAGCCCTCTGGGTATCCTGCCTCTGCCAACCACCCCAGACATCCTCAGGTTCTTACTGGGCCTGGCCGTCTTGAAGTTGACAGGGTGGAAACCACCAGTCAGGGCGGCAGATGAGTCAGTGATGTCTGTGTCGAAGTCACGGCAGTTGCGGCGGTACACCACCACCCCCACCGCCATGAGGATTGCCACGACCACGAAGACAGCCACCACGAGCCCCGCGTACAGCGCCGCGTCCCCTGAGGCCTCCAGCACTGCGGGGACAGGAAGACCACATAAGGGGCAGCACAGACACCAGGCCCTGGGGGAGTCAGGGAGGCCCTGGGTCCCTGGAAAGGGCAGGGCCCAGGGCCAACCAGCACGGTGCTGAGTTCCAGTCTGAGCCCCGCCTACACAGGCTGGCAACCTCAGGCTAGCCTTGAACCTCTCTATCAGTAAAATGGGCTCGAAGTCCCTGCCTTACTGCCCTTCTAGTTGTGGCATGAGAAGAAAAGAACAAACATGTTCACACCATTTGTTAACTTGTTGCTCGCTGCTGAGGAGACAGGGTCTGTGGCTCGGGGCCATGCGGCAACATAATTTGCCCTGTGAGCACTGGGGTTGAAACCTCTGAGTCTGCAGCAATTTCCACAGGACCAAAGGCCCTGGCTCTGTTAGCTTGGTACGTGGATAAGCTCTTCTGGCTCTGTTATCTTTGTAAGTAACTGTTCTGAACTCTTCTTCCATTCCATGCTCTGAGGGTGGGAGGTAGAGGCATGGGGAGCTGAAGGAGTGGAATGAGATGCACAGCAATGCGGTGGAGAAGAGGTGGGCATGTGGGGAGAAGGATGGGCCCAGGGAGGTAACCCATGGCTACACTTTCCTGCCCCAGGCAAACATGGCCAGGCAGGAAGCCTCAAGGTCAAAGTGGCAGGGTCTGAAGTAGGGCTCTCTGGTGGAGCTTTCTACAGTGGTGGAATATCCTATGTCTGCAGTATCCGGTATGCAGCCACTAGTCACGTATGGCTCCTGAACAACTCAAATGTGGCCAGTACCACTGAGGAACTGAATTTTAAAAAAATTATTAAATTTTAATTAAGCTAAATAAAAGTTTAAACGGCCAAACGTGGCTGGTGGCTTCCACACTGGACAGTTCAGGGAGAGCAAAATTGGCGGCCAAGATGGCTGCTCTTCCCCTTGCTTCATTCAGGAGCTCCAGGAAGCACCTGTCCATGCGCTCCCTCCCTGGGGGGCCCTCAGAGAAGTAGGCCTGCTTCCTCTGCCTGGAGTCCTCCACACCCTGCACTTGGGGTCAGCCTGAGGCTTTCAGCAAGGCAGGGCATGGCTCCCAGCCCCGGATGTCTGCCCACTTCCAACTTCTGTCCCCCAGTATCTCTCTTCAGCAGCCCTCACTCTTGGGCTCCCCCTCAGGGCTGGGCTCCTGGCTCAGCAAAGAAATGGCTCCCCCAGCTTGGCTCTGCCTCCTGTTGCCCTCACTAACACTGGGGCCACTTGCCTGGTGATTTACACTTGAGTCATCCCCAGCCCGAGCCCCAGTGAGCTCGGCCAAGGGCCTCACTGATTTTATGATTCCAGAACTATCTGGAAATTGTGGTTTAATTACCATGGGCCAATCTGCTCAAGTGGCTTTGCTGCTCTGGTATGACTGCAGTGGCGGTGCAGCCTCTGGGGCTGGAGAGCGCACCCCCCGGAGCTGACGCAGGGCAGCGGGCATCACAGACCATTTGGGAGGCTTGGCCCAGCTGCTGGGGCGGAGGTACAGCAAGGGGCGTGAGGGGGAACTGCAGTGGTGATGTCCCGGCCCTGGTCCAGAGAGGAGGGCCAAGAGCATATGGTTAAGAACACCAGCTTTGGCTATAAAAATATTTGGGTTCAAATCTTCACTCTGCTACTTCTTGCCTGTGTCTCTGGCCAAGTCCCTTCTTCTCTCTGAGACTCAGTTTCCCCTCCTATGAGAGGAAGCTCAGTAGGGTGTCCTAGGGCCTTTCTTTTCTGTCAGCCAAGGGTTTGCCTGTCTGCCGGTGATGGAGATGCAGACACATGCAGTGTCAGGTGTAGATGGTCCCATGGAGGGTGGGTAGGGCGGCACCTTCAGCTCTCCCTGCCCTGCACCCTGATCCCGGGAAAAGCCAGCCAAAGAGAATCAGGGATCCCCCAGAGGAAAGAGGACAGCCATGAAAGGGGACTTACGGTGGCTGTTGGGGTCGCTTAGAGTTTTCTTATCTGTCAAGGGAAATAAAGGGAAAGACAATGACATAGGTGACAGGGAAATAGTGGCAGAGAAGGCAATGGGAAGGATGAGATGAGATGATGGATGTGGTGCGGGGGACAGAGGCCCTGAGGACTGCCATGCTGCAGGCTGGGCACTGAGGCATGGGGCCGGGTTTGGGAGACCCTTACATGGCTCCAGAGTCCCCACCCCCAGGGCCCCACCTTCCCTGTGACTCACTTTGCATACACAGGCCATCTGTGCAGTTCTTAGAGTCGAGCAGCGTCCCGCTGCAGTCACGGCCTCCGTTCTGGGGTGGGGGTGCCATGCACTCGCGGCTACGCCAGTGGGCACACTCAGTGCTGCAGGCTGACCACTTGCTCCACTCCGTCCACGCCCCATCGACTGTAAGAGCAGGGCATACAGGAGTATGTGCACGCACAGACATGTGCACGCAGGGACATGTGCACACATAATTACGTGTGCAGAACACAGCAATGCGCCAACACACATGCATGCATACACACTGTGGAAGGAAATGAGGAACCCAGGACACATGTGTGCCACACAGAGAAATCCACATGATATCCACATAGCCCCATGCCAATGAACAGCCAGATGCACCTGGCAGGTGGACAAAGAGGGTACAGATAGATGCATAAGGTCATCAACACGATACAGCCCAGTGCACAATTTACACACAAAGACACTAACCCAGGGTAAAGAAAAACAGTGTAGGCACAAACATACAACCCAAGGGAGAGAACACAGCACATGTGTGGGGGTAGGGGAGCAGAGGGGCTGCACAGAGAGAGGAATAGGAGGATGGCTGTCAGTGTGAATAGGTTCTGTGGCCACGGTGTGTCTTAACAGTTAGGGGCAAGAGGCTGTCCCTGAGGCTGCACCTCTGAAACCTTGGCCTGGGGCTGACACACTGACACTGAGAACCCTCAGCTTGGAGGACAGAAGGCCCAGGCTAGAGGGTCAGGGAGAAGGGGCCACCACTCAGACCCTCTGCCTCTATCTCACCAGCAGCCCAGGGCAGAATAAGTCAGAGATCAGAGCATCTCGTCAGCCTGGGCAGCCAGCTGTGGGCTTGGGACAAGCACCTTCTGCTCTCCATGCTAGGGAGAGAACGGCTGTCCTGGCTCTGGCACACAATACAGAAGGTGGGACAGGGTTCAGGGTGGGGCTGGGCATGGATGAGGCACCTTACCTGGGCAGATGGTGGTGCAGGCGGTCTTCTGGAAGGCCTGGCCCTCGCAGAAGGCCCCTCCGTTGAGTGGGGTGGGGTTGGTGCAGGTCCGGGTGCGCTTCTGCCAGCCTCGGCCACAGCGGTTGGAGCAGGGCGACCACTCTGCCCAGCTGGACCAGCCACCATTCACTGCAAGGCGGCAGCTGTCACCTGGTTGGCCTGGCTCTGGAACCCTCTGCCCTCCCCCAAACCCATCCCTCACCCTGACGAGGCCCCTCTGCCGAAGCCCGGCCTCTCTGGTGAGACCCCATCTGCCTACAGTGTGAGAGACTCAGAAGTGGCAGGCAGAGCTGGGCTGCAACCATCAGCACCAGAGGGGACCCAGGAAGTCACTGTATATGCCCCACCTTGTTGTAAGATGGCAAGGAAGGTCCAGAAAGGGCTGCCAGTTGCCTAGGGTCATCCCGGGAGTAATGGGGGCCTGGGACTGTGCCTGGAGCTGGAACCTAGTACAGGGCTCTTTCTAGAACTCTGTAAAGTCACCTCAGCTGTGGCTCCACTCCTCCCACCCACAGGGCCCAAGGGAGAAGCAGAGAACAGCTCACAAGCCTGGGCATTGGTCCCTAACTCTACAAGGACAACAGGCCTCTGGGCGTACTGACTGGGTCCTGCCTCAGCCCCCAGACTTGGAGAGAGTTGGTTCTTCTCCTTCAGAGTTAGGCAAGGCATCCTGAGAACTGGGGAGTGCTCCTGGCTGGGAACCCAGGAATGCCCAACTTGGCCATGAATTTTGCTGTATTGTGACCTTGGTCAATTCACTTCCCCTCTCTGGGCTGCATCCTCCCTACCAAGCCAGGGGTCCCACCTAGCCCCAGGCTCTCCTCCCTCCCTTGGCTGTGTCTGCCCCTCCCACTCTGAGAGGCCCGCACCGTAGACGATGACGGTGGCAGTGGTGCTCCGGCGTTTGGCCACGATGTTCTTGGCCACGCAGGTATAGTTGGCAGTGTCTGACAACCGGGCCTGGCGGATGATGAGGTTGTGGTCGATGGTGAGCAGGAAGTTGGTGTCCTGGGTAGGGTCGATGACATCCTCATTCTTGAGCCATTCCACCTGCAAGAGTGGGAGTGAGGGGGCAGTGAGGGCCCAGGGCAGGTCTGACCATAAACAGAAGAAGGGCAGTTCTACCTGGGTCCATACCACGGTCATGGCAGTGAGGCAGGGCCTCGGTGGGACCGGACACTGTACAGCTCCAGGGTTAAGACCGCCATTTGCCAGCTGGGTGGTCTTGGGAGGGGACTTACCACTCAGGGCCTCAATTTCATCGACTGCAAGATGGAACTGAATAGCACCTACCCCACAGGGATCCATCGTGAGGATTACACGAGTTAGAATGTGTAAGGTGCCGAGAACGGTACTCAGAGTAAGTTGAGTTAAGCTAACTAAATAAGCGCTAGCCAGGAGTATCTGTCTTTATCATTAACTCCTCCCGGCTCTACTAGCCAGGATAAAAAGCCTGGAAGGTGATAGGAAGAAGGTCCCTGGGTCTGGCAGACCTGGGTACAAACCCTAGCTCTGCCACTCACCAGCTACCTCACCCTAGGTGGCCACTGGGCCCCTCCCAGCCCTGCTTCCCTGCTGTAGGATGGATGGTAACATCAGTTTGCAGGGCTGTTGCAGAGACCAGCATGCCAAGTGCCTAGCATATATGGGCTAGGGATGTTTGTCTGAGCCCACTGTGCAGAGGAGGGTTTGGGCTGGGAGAGGCTGAGCAATGAGTGCACTGTTTTGGGATCAGACAGGGCTGATCCCAGGCTGGAAGTCAGGGTCCTGACTACCCCAATCGTCCACTCCACTGGGCAAAGCTGAGATGCAGCTCTACTCCCTGGACCACCAGTGCAGGGAGTATGTCTGGAACAGAGGTAAGGATGGCGAGAGAGGACAGGCAATCCAAAGACTGTGTGGTTTCAGGAAGGGGTGACCGGCTCGTGGGGGAGAACACACTCATCCACATGCAGGATAGGACCCTTTGGCATCCAGAAAGCTGAGGCCTTGGGTTCCGGGTGGGGCAGGAGATGGAGACTGAGCTGGAGGTCCACCTAAGGAGCTCCTGAGTTCTGGGGATTTCTGCCCTAGCCACCCCATCCTGTGGGGTTATGCCTGTGGCAGACCCAGCTGGGATCTGGCATTGCTGTGTTCTGCAGAGGTGGCAGTTTTCTTCTCTTTGCCAAGCCTCGATCTCATCTGTGAAAGGGGTAGGGCTCTGGGAGACCAGCACCATGGCTGATGGTAAATACCGTGCCTGCCTGGCCTCCGCAGGCATGGCCACAGGGCTGTGCTCAGTGGTCTCTACGTCCCCGCTCACCTCAGCCACGGGCACCCCCTCCGGCGGGCGGCACTGCAGGAGAACCTCATGGTCCAGGGGCACCTCCTTGCCCAGAGGCTCCTGATCGAAGTTCTTGCGCAGGTCTGGGAGAAGCGAGAGGGTCCCAAGGCAGTCAGGTGTGGGGAGAACTGGAACCTGATGTGCTACACTGTGGCCACTGGGTGGCAGCGCAGACCCAGGGAACTGTTCATGGGCCCACCTGTCCTTTGCCTGGGAAATTTCCTCTACTCCAAAGGAGGGGCTCATCAGGCAGACTTAGGGGAATAGGGTTCCCTCCCTGACTCTGGGATCCTAAGCACATAGTGGCTCAGGATGGGGGAGGAAGCTGCCAGCTTCTTTTATACAGAAGTAGATGAAAAGAGGCCCAGGTTCTGGGTCTAGGAGCCCTCTCTGAGCTGGCATCCATGTGCTGGGATGTCTCTGCCACAGGCATCCTCAGCCAGGGATGCTGGAGGAGGCCCCACAGATGTGAAGTTCCCTCTCCAGCATCCTCGGGGATGGGGAAGGGTCCTGCAGGGACGGGGTGGGGGTCAGGGTGGCGTACAGGCGATGCGGACGTAGGCTCGGCGACTCTTGGTGGTGCCCGCAGAGCTCCAGGCCACGCACTGGCACCAGTAATCCTCCAGCCCAAAGAGCTCCTCCACCTGCTGCCGCGACACCTCAATCTGCACCTCGCGCACCCGCAGGCCTGGGAGGAGAAGAGAGTGCTGTCAGGGGGCAGGGGCAAAGCAAGAATGTGAGGCACAGGACACCCCAGGCCTTCCACCTCGGGTCCTGCTGGCTCTCTCACCCAAGTGCCCCTTTCCATCCATTCCTCCTGTCTCCACCCTGGCCCAAGCTTCATGGCCACTCACCTGCACATTGCAGTGGCTAACACAAGCCCTCTGCCCTTCCAATGCATCTTCTACCTGGCAGCTAGTGTCATCTCCAAAATGCACAAGTGGTGTGTCATTCCTCCCTGATATGAGACCCTTCATGCGGGCTCTCAGTGGCCTGCAGGCCTGTAGGGTCATCCCCAGGAGCGGCTCTGAGCTGCACTGTGCATTCACCGTCCCCACCCCACTGCAGCCTCACCCGGTGTCTTCCAGGCTCTCATGTTCCCTGGCTCTGTGGCTACAGAGCCACGGGGCCCTTGCACATCAGTCCCCTGCCTGGAACTCTTCTGTCTCCTCTGGGCCCAGTGGCCTCTCAGTCCCTGCCAGATTTCGGATCAGCCTCACTTCCCGAGGAAAGGCCCCTCCACCCTGCGCCTCCCCCACAGCTCTCCCAGCACTGCTCGGCACTCCCCCTACTGCACCCGAACTTTGTCTATGCGGCAATCACTCCCCTACCCAGCCTCGTCTCCTCCCAGCACCCACCATTAGCTGGACTCAGATTATTTATGGACGCATTCATGTGTTAAATGTCTGTCTCCTGCAGGAGAACAAGATGGGGCTTTGTCCTGCTCACTGCTGTGGCCCAGGGCTTGGCACAGAAAGGGGGCTCAGCACGTGCAGAGGTGAGACACCTGCTCTCCCTGATCACTACTCAGGCCACGTGGGAGCGGAGCTGAGGAGGTCCCTCTTCCAGGGAGCCCCTGATCTCTCAATGGCTCCCTGGTCAGGGCCTGGGAAACTTCCTACATAACAGGACCTACCAGCCTATACAAGGGGGTCAGTAGGATTTCAGTCAACCATCCCTCAACGAAGCCCTCCATGCTCAAGAAAGCAGGGAACCTGCCAGGAATGGGGACATTCATCTGAAGTTCCTCCCCAAAGGTTATAGAGGCCTCTTCCTCCTCCAGGAAGCCTCCCTGACTGCCTTGTGTCTCAGAATTGCTAAAGCTGCTGCTCCCTGCCACAATGTGTCCTATCTCATCCTCTCATTGCACCATGGATTGTTAAGGTACGCACAGCTGGTGGCATGGTGGGTAAGGACAGGGTTGGATGGCTGGACAGGTTTGTGTCCTGGCCCCACCCTCAAACCCCAGCTGGGTGACCTTTGCGAAGTTACTCAGTCTCTCTGAGCCTCGGTTCCCTCATCATAGTAAACTCTCAAGGTAAACTCTAAACAAGTTATGGTGACTACTCCGCCACAGCGCCCAGCCCGGGCCAGACACAAATATACTCTGGCAGGTCATCTGGATCTCAACCAGCTTCTTCTGTTACCTTTGAAGGAACTGAGGCCCAGAGAGGGTAGGTGGCAGGCACCAAGTCCCCCAGCAAGCTGCTGCAGAGCGGTCAGCTCCCTGGCATCTTTCCCAGGTTAGAGCTTGGTCCCCTCACCCACAACTCCTCTCTGGACCTCTCCTGATGAAGTCACTGCTGTAACTCTCCTATTGTTGAGGAGGGTTGGGTCCTTGTGCAGGGAGTCCAGACAGGGGGGACAGCCCCGTCCTGATGGCCAAGGATCTAAATGGGAGGTGGCTAGGGGTTTGCCATCCAGGGAAGAGGCTGCTTCAGGGGTGGGTGGCACTGCCTGCCTGCCATGGCTGCCCGGGGGCTGGCTCCACAGTCAAGGCTGCATGGCCCAGGGAGCAGAGCCCTGCCCCTTGCTTACCAGACTGTGAACCTGGAAGAGTGGGCCCTTTTAAGGGGGTCACCCATGCAAGGTTTCAGCAGCACCAATAGCTGGACAGAAGGAAACCACCACCAGGGAGGAGGCGCGACACCTCGTCCATGATCACCAGCAAGCAGAGATGCAGGGAGCATAGGACGGGGACCTCCGGTGTCCCAGGCTTGAGGCCTAGCACCAGACTGCCCTCCCAAGCATAGCAATGTCTGGACCAGGACACCCAGGGTTGGGCCGCCTGCCCCGATCTGGCACAAGTTGGTGGGGGGCTGTTCTGCCTCTCCTGGCCTCCAGTCGTTCTCTTCTGTTTTCAGGCCTCAGAGAGTGCTAGGGAAAGCCAGGGCTAGAGAGTAGGAGGCTGAAGTGGAATCAGGCCCCACCACTGCCAAGGAAGCTCTGCCCATTATTTGCAGCTAATGGGGACAACAGTGCCCCAATTTCTAGGGCTGGCAGGGCCTGTGTGCCTGGTGGCAGGGAAGTAAGAGCCATGCTGTTATTATTAGTAATAATCACAGGGTTATTATTACTATACTAACGGCCTGTGAGGGGCCCCAGCAGGCACACTGTTCCCTTGCCTTGTCCAGACCCCGATGGCTGACCTCTGATACAGGCCAGAGGAGCTCAGTGGGCAGAGAGGTAAGGACCGTTTGAGAGAAAGAGGCCAAGGAAAGCCCAGAAAGAGGACAGAGGAAGCAGGTGTTTATTGACTGCCTGCTGGGCCCTGGCATGCTGCTCTGTGCTATGTGTGCCACCTGGCTCTACCCTCACCAGGACCTTCAGTCAACTTCCCAGTTTACAAAGAGAAGAACTGGGGCTCAGAGAGGTCGAGTGACTTCCCCAGGGTCACTCAGTCAAAGAGTGGGGGCAGCTGGCAAATATGTGTTGTTTAGTTTCCCCTTAAAAATTCCTTTTTCTGGCTGGGTGCAGTGACTCACACCTGTAATCCCAGCACTTTGGGAGGCCGAGGCAGGAGGATCATGAGGTCAGGAGATCGAGACCATCCTGGCTAACGTGGTGAAATCCCGTGTCTACTAAAAATACAAAAAATTAACCAGGTGTGGTGGTGGGCGCCTGTAGTCCCAGTTACTCGGGAGGCTGAGGCAGGAGAATTGATTGAACGTGGCGGGTGGAGGTTGCAGTGAGCCGAGATCATGCCACTGTACTCAAGCCTAGGTGACAGAGCGAGACTCTGTCTCAAAAAAAAAAATTTCCTTTTCCATTTTTATATTTTGGGTGAGCATGGGACTCCAAATCTATTGTTTAAAATTATGTTTAAATTGTGGTAAAATACACATTCTATAAAACTTAGCATTTTAACCATTTGTAAAATACGGTTCAGTGACCTTGAGTACATTCTGGAGTATGGTTTTAAGCCTGACTGGTTCTGAAATCTGTGAGCTTTACATGACAAAACAGAAACTAAAGAAGGGGGAAAGAAGGACAGTGACACAGCACGTCAGGGAGACAGAGACTGAGGCAGAGAGAGGGGGAGGGAGAGAAAAAGAAAGAAGGAAAGCAGGCACATAAGGAAAAGAGAGAGGGAGAAATGAGCAGGGAGAGGCAGCGAAATCAAGAGAGCCGAAGAAAGAGAAAGCAAAGGATCCAGACAGAGACGGGAAAAACAAAAAGCCAGGAAGGCTGCCCGGGAGCCCCGAGTCTGGGGTGGGTGGGCTCTGTCCGGTGACTGAAGCGGGGTCCCACCTGCCTGTCTTAAGCCCCAGGGAGGGCTTTTCACCCTGAGGGCTCTGCACTATCAAGAGGGACCTGGTGGCAGTGAGCAAGAGCCCCTCACTTAGACTCGAGGGCACCCTGGGGGTAGGCTTAGTTCTGGGACATATGGGGAACCCCAGGGCTCTGCCTCCTCCTCTGGGAGTACCGAGGGTCCCCCACACATCCGAGAAGGAAGGGACCCCACACTTCCTCGCATTTCCCAGTTTCGGCTGCTCTCCTCTCTCCCTCCAGATTTGGGCTACATCCCAGCACCACTTGAACGGTTATTTACTTAATACTCTCAACTTTTTCTTTTTAACCTAAAACAATTTATTTCGACGCAGGAAATGCCATATCATTATTGTGAATGGAAACCAGTATCACTTTCCACAAACAGAAGGGACTGTAAAAATAACGATTGCATTGAATTCTGGGTCGGTGCCGTGGGGTGCCAGGGCCGTGAGGCAGAAACCTGCCCTCTTTGTTAAACAGGGAGATTGGCAGGTGTTTGGGAGGGCTCAAGAGCTCCCACCTGACGGGAACTTGCTCCCTGACAGAAGCAGAAGGATGGAGAAAAAATGGAAAGGGAGTGAGGGCTCACAGGGCACTCGGTGCTATCGAATGCAGTGGGGATGGTCCCAAAGTCAGGCTGGGACACGTGGCCAGCATTTGGGGAAATGCTAATCCAAGGTGAAGCCCAGGGTGGGTGGTGGGGAACTGAGGACCAGGGGGCACCATGGCTGTGTGAAGTCTCACATGGAGCCAGGCCTGTGCCTCTCGGCCTGGGGGGTCCTGGGGGTTCCAGGCACGTGGGGTGGGCTTACCGGTGGCCTCATCCAGGCCTTCCTGTGTGACATGGTCGTTCTGGCTGACCCACTCGCCGTTGCACTTGAAGTAGATCTGCGTGGCGGGGAAGGCGCGGCAGCGGAGCTCCACAGGCTTGTTCTTCACAATGTAGGCGTCCTGTGGCTCCTGCAGGAAGTAGGGCAGCGGCTCTGCCGGAGCCGAGGGGAAGGAGTCAGGGAGCACCTCGCTGCCGGAATCAGTGCCTGCAGAGTGAGTGGAGACCTCCATGAGGCTGTGTGCTGGGAGGGCCCTGTGGCACCCCTCGCCCACCCCGGGGGCCCACCGCAGATGAAGAGGGCAGGGGAGGCAGAGGTGGGGCAGCCAGAGCCCTGCTGGGGACGCAATCTGCAACCAGGGTCAAGTCTGGCACTCCTGCGGCCTCAGTTTCCCATCTTGCCCTGCTTTTAAGAGGCTAGGCTTTATAAAGAGCCAGTTCCCGCTCTGAGATGCTGTGCGATTGTACTTCATTACAGATGGAGAGGCCAGGGAGGTCCCGGGAGGGGAGGCAATCTGTCTGGGTGAGGATACCCCTTGGGCACCCCCCAGCGTCTGCTCCATTGTCCCTGCCCGGCCTCTATCCAGTTCCTCATGGTGACGCTACCAGACGCAATGGGCTGGAAATGGGGCTGGGGCTGGAGCTCAAACCAGGCCAGCTCTGCCCTGGAGTCACAGCTGCCCTTTGCAGCCCCGGCCAGGCTGGCAAGCAGGACAGGAGTCAGGGCTGCGGGGCAGGGGTGGGGTGAGCTGGCTGAACCAGGCCTGGACTCCACAGTGCTCGGCCCCTTGCAGGTCTCCTACCCCAGGGGAAGCCCTCCTTCCCAGAAGCCTCCCCACAGAGCTCACCTCCCATGGTCTGTGGCTTTCACCCAACCCTTGGCCTCTTCTTCCCAACCCCCACCCCAGCCCTTAGCACAATGGATGAAGAGACTTCAGAGCAGACGAGGCTGTGCCTGTGGCAATCTCCTCCCATGAAGGGGGCCAAATGGAAATCCTGGCCCACCCAGTCTCCCTGGAAAGAACTGCACCTCAGGAGGTGAGACAAACAGGAAGAGGGGTGTGGCCACCGCCAGTGCCCAGAAGTCGGGAAACCGGGCCGCTGAGCTGCTGGTTTACAATCCACCTCCGAAAACGAATTTTCCAGCGCCAAATGCCAAATCATCAGGTGGCTGGGCACAAGCTGTCGGGGGCCTGTCCTCCTCTGCTGACTGCCCAGAGGACACAGTGAATGAAGCTGTGGGGTGGCGCATGGCTGCCCAGCCCCTCCAGCCAGAGGCCCCACCTACAGCCGAGGGAGTGGGGAGGGTGGTGTCCCGGGAGGCCTGTGTGGCCACTGGGATCATGCACTTGTTCTCTGGTCTAGAAGGCCATATTTGGCCCTAGGGAGTCCCCCTATAGGCAGAGGGGCCAAGGGGACACCTAGTTTCCCAAGAACAGAAAGTCTGACTATGCTTTCTCTTTGTGGACCAGGAGAGCCTGCTGAGACTGGGGAACTTGGGAGAAAATGCATAAACTATCACCAGCTTGGGGCCTAGGCCCTGGCCAGTGTGTATGGGGGGTGGGGGCGGGGGAGCTAACAAGATGACACATGACTCCAGCTTCATCCAGCATGTTCTGTAGGGCCCAGGGAGAGAACCTTAACTCCTACCTCGTTATGCCTGATGAGCACAAGAGGTGGACACCCTTCCCCTGTCTCTGGGCTGCTCTGAGGATCGCATGAGATAAACATGCAAGAATGCCTAGGTGGGGCCTGGCGCACAGTAGGTACATGTTGCTGCATTGAAAGAACAACTAATGCTTACCCAGCATCAGGTGCTATGTTTGCAGGAATTTAAATTGTTAACTTATTGAATTCTGGCACCAACCCTGTAAGGTATGTTCTATTAGTCCCCAGTTTAGAGATGGGTAAATGGAGGCTCAGGGAGGTTAAGCAACTTGTCCAAGTTCACACAGCTAACAAGTGGCAGATCAAAAGTTTGAACCTGAGAAAAGACTTCACCGTTTGGGCTGTTGTCTCAGACTCCACACCACCTATCATTGATGTAGCTCTGTAACGGTGTGGGTGTCTCCACACCGGGGAATCCTAACAGCACCCTGACAGTGACCAGAACTCCATAGTCCACAGGGCTCTCTCATCAAGGGGCCAGCAAGGCTGGAACTGTCCTCATTTCAAAGCAGAGGAAACTGAAGACCATTCAAATGGTTCGCATGACTTGCCTGAGGCCACCCAGTGAGCGGGCAGCTAATGTGGGAACAGCAAGGTAGATTCCTGAGGCCAGGCCAGGGCTCTCTGACACCTGCTTCCCACTGCCAGGTACAGGGACACGTTCACTGTAGGCAAACTGGTAGCCCCCTAGGGCTGCTTGGGGATTTGATGAGATGACACAGTGACTTGATCACAGCCCAGGGAGCTGAACACTGGCTTCCAGTGGCCTGAGAGCTGGTTGCTGTGCACACCCTGAGATGGCCACTGAGGCTTCCCTGCCAGGCCAGGCAGCTCTGGGAGAGCAGGATGGAGCCAGGAGGGCATCTGGGCAGCAGAGAACCTGCCAGACTCCATGCCCACCACTGACCACCAGCATCTTGTCTCCATCTCAGCCCTGAGGGCTGTGGGACAGAGCTCTGCCTTCAGACTCAGAGGCCCCTGGGTCTGAACCAGCCCCTTGCTGGCCTCAGGCAGCTTGTCTTTGAGACGGCGGGATTGAGCCTCCCTCTGGGGGTGGGTCACAGCCACAGGAGAAGGGGCATGGGGGCCCATGGGTGCATGTCACGTGCCTACACCCATCTCTAACCGTACCGCCCCCAGCCCCGGGGTGACAGCTGCCTCTGTGCTTTGCAGCACTGCAGGCTGTATTATGACTTTGTTTTATAACTCTAATGCAGACCATTTATAAAGTGGGTACAGACAGGACTGAGGAAAGCAAACATTAGACATCCATTAGTGCAGCAGGCCCTGCGTCTGGCAGCCCTACCGCCCCACTCTTCCCACCCTGCCCCTCCTCTCAGCCCTGGTGCAAAGATTCAGCTCTGGCCTTGGCAGGGACGCAGGCCAAGTGTCCCCTCTGTGCCTGTCTGTTGCAGCAGCACTGGATGGCTCTTGATGTAGCTGTTGCCCTCTTGCTGTGTCCCTATACCCTAGGTGTCCTGGAGGCAGAGACTGCCAGGAGATACGAAAGAATGAAAGGCCCACCTGAGGTTCCTGCCTGGAGGGACCACGAGTGGACTCTGCTGGCCAGCACACAGCAGGTGCACAGTGAATGCAACTTGAGTAAGGGAGTAGGCCGGGCGTGGTGGATCATGCCTGTAATCCCAGCATTTTGGGAGGCTGAGGTGGGTGGACTGCCTGAGCTCAGGAGCTCGAGACCAGCCAGGCCAACGTGGCGGAACCCCATCTCTACTAAAAATACAAAAATTAGCCGGGCATGGTGGTGTGCACCTGTAATCCTAGCTACACGGGAGGCTGAGGTGGGAGAACTGCTTGAACCCGGGACGCAGAGGTTGCAGTGAGTGGATATTGCACCACTGTACTCCAGCCTGGGTGACAGAGTGAGACTCTGTTTCCAAAACGACAACGACAAAAAACAGTAAGGGAGTAAGTGTGGGGCATGCCAGGGCCTGTGCAGAGCCCTCACTTCTCCCTGGCCCTGGCTTGGGCCCCAGTGACTGAGGAAGGCTTGAAAGGTGGGCTAGATGACAGCGACCCATGGCCAGGCTGCATAGGTGCCAGCTGGGTGGGAGAATAATGGGGTCTTGGGGTTCCTGGATGCTTACCCTGCCAGGCGCTGCTCAGAGGGTGGTTCATATAAACTCAATGAGCTCCACAATAACCCTAGGCAGAGATGCAGAAATGTTTTGATTTTTAGCATATCAGTAATTTTTTTAAGCTATCCCAAGGCCAAAAAGAAGTCCCTAACAGGAATGTATTAGATCGCAACAGCTTTGTAAATATTTATATTCTGAAATCTTAGGATAAATTGAAAGAAAAAATATATTTTTATCCCATTCCTAAATAGCCACAAAGAATTATGAATGGGGATGTGTGCACCCGTCGGGCGCTGTACAACTTCTCAAACTTTGGAATCCGAGTGGACACCACTACTCTTATTGTTTGTCGTGGGCTACTCCCAAATGCCACAATCCCAGCTGTGCAAAGATATGGTGCCAAATAAAGGAAAGCAGAGTGATAGGACATTGAAACTGTGAGCTACTCGTTGGTGCAGTGTCTGACAGCTATCTAGCATTACTGTGTTTCCCACATTGAAAATATCCCATGGCTCCCCTGTGAGGGTGCTGAGGAACCCTGGGATAATTTGGCACACAGTTTGGGAACCACAGGCCTATGAGTTGGATATGATTATTATCCCCATAGTGCAGATGAGGAAACTGAGACCAAAAGTGTTTAAGTGACTGGTATAGAGCTATAAAGCTAGTAAGTGGCATCGCTAGGGGGCAAATTCAGGGAATCTGATACTAGAATCTGTCTTCTGAGCTCTGCTGAACTGGAAATGGGCATTTAAGCCTACTACGTGCTACTCCTCACAACTCTTCCCATTTTACAGATGAAAACGTGGGGCAACAAGGGACATGAAGGGTCACCTGGTCGATGGCAGGAAGCAAGGCTTGAGCCGCGTCTCTCAGCCCCGCCTCCCAGCCCCGCCTCCCTGGCCGCTCTGCAGGACTTCCTGCCGCTCTGTCTCTACAGAGGAACCGCATCTAAGATAGGCTCCCCTAGAAGTCTTTGCCTCAGCCAGGCCGGGTCTGGGTTTCCTGCTGGCAGGAAAATTCCCACAGAAAGTGTTTTTTCCTAATAGTAGAACTCATTTGGGCCTAAGTTGCAAAAGTGCAGCCTGCCTTTAAAGCTGCATCCAAGAATGGTCCAGATATCCTGCCAAGAAGCTATGAAAGAGGACACATCCCTGCACAGATGTAACAACAAGACAGTCAAATGAAGGACAGGAAAAATCGCTGGAGGCAGAGGCCCTGGGTTTGCATCCCAGCTGGGGACTGGCACTGCTGTGTGGCTGTTCTCTCCCAGGCCCTGGAGTTTCCGTCTGTCAAATGAGGAGGTTGGCCAAGTCAGTCTCTTAAGCCCTCCTCTGCTTCTAACACTTGGAGGTTTAAAGATCCCTTAAGGGGAATCTGTTCATGTGTGAAAATGTCCAGTTGAGTAAATGTTTTTCTTCAGAAAGCACATTTGCTTAATTAA